TTTCTATGTAAAAAAGTTGTTTTATTTCTGCATGCGAGTGTTTTGACACTATTTTCCTCTTCAGCAGTTTCTGGCGACAACAATGCGAGACCTTTCAGCATTTTCCGTTCACGGTGTGCAGCGACAAAACCTATTTTTCGATTGGATTGAATCATTTGGGTATTTTTCGAACGTGTTCACGGATTTAAGTTATTTTTTTGTTTGTCTGTCAACCATTTTATGTCAAACGTGGAAGACGCTCGACGTAATTTTACGTCGACTAAAATACTTGACGTAAATTTACTTCTTTCGCATTGACGTCAAACTTTTTTTCGACATAAAAAGTCCGAAATTAGAGACATAAAATATCTCTTTTGTACTATTAATGATATGCATTTTAGATATATGATTCATCTTTTTAATTAATTAATCTGTATCCCTTAATTTGTTCTCAATTTTCATGTACCGCGAAGATGGGTGATATATCAAAGTATCAAACACAAGCCCATATATGTACAAAAGCACGGGATAAGAGATGAACTATTACATGATTAAATGTAATATGTGCTAATATAAGAACAAATTACTAGTTAACTAGATTAGGACTAAAGTTTACAACCAACAAAAACAACCTCCCACCCTAAAGAAATTAATTTTACCCTCCAACATATATAAGGAGATGTCCCTCTATGGGATCTTCCTCGCGTGACATAAAGAATGACATAGTCTTCCACACATTCTGTGCCCATTATGCTTTGCCATTGAGAAATAGAGCTCAATGGCCCTTTAAATACCAGCATAGTAAAGTATACTACAAATGCTAGTACTTACGTAACCAAAACATATAACTCCTTCGAGCACACTGAGATTCTAAAAAATAAAAGTTTTACATTTTGTAAGCAATATTTTATTAAGAAAGATCGAGTACAAAGAGTATTACATAGCTAAATAAAAAAAAAGAATAAAATTACACTAACATACTGAGATTTAGCAAGACTACAGATAAATTTCCTGTTTTGTTTACTCTATAACTAACTCTCTTAATTTGTTTGATACTTTTTATAATTTATTTAGTTATGATCAAATTAATCATTTATGTTAAGTTACTTTCTGTTTTCTTTGTTCCTTCTAAAACAGTATATGTTGTGATATTTTGTTGTCCGAGTAAGTTATTCTACGTATAAAACAATTTTGACGTTTATCTAAGATATAAAAGAGGGGGAAGACTTAAAAAATCAAAGTTATATATATAATCAGTTGTGAAATTTTGGAGAAAAAACATTACAATATATAACTGAATTAAACTTGACTTTCCACGCTCCCGTTGACCAATATACAACTTTTTTTTTTTTTTTTTACAAATATAATACAGATCTTGAAATAACGTAAGAGTGGTTCCATCAAAACGGAATATCAATAACAACATCGTTAGACACATTGTCAGGGACGTTGATTCCCATCACCGGTTCGACGGCGGCGTTAGAAGAATCCGGCGGCGGCGGCACTCTGACGGCGAAATGAATGACCCCATTTATTTTCCCTTCCCAGTCCCTCAACCGGTAACTGAAGACGTACATGGAATTTTCCGACACGGCAAGAAAATCTGAAACTGCGATTCTGGCAACCCCAACGGGTCTCACAGCCTTGAACCTGTTGCATTGAACCTCGAAGGTGATGGAGAATTGAGTCATTCAAATTTCGAATTTGTATTTTACGAATATGATGATTCGAGAATTGAAATTATTAAAATTATTATTATTTTATTTTTTTATCTTAATATTATTTTATAATACTAATATTTTATAATATTATCATTTTATTAGTTGCATAATACATTTAATCAATTACCATACCTAGATTAGTGTTGCGACTAGATTATCCTAACACATTGTTAAGTTTAAAGCAAGTTTTAAGATGAATTTTTTTAAAAAATTCCTAATAATATATTATAATAAAAAATAAAAATATTTTAGAGATGAATTAAAAAATATAATTATATTTATGTCTTTTAGAAGTAAATATTTTAGAATAAAATTTCACTACAAGAAAGTTGTCATATAGTGATACATCCTAGAGTGATATAATATGTATCATTAAAAATTATTTTTACTCACACAATAAATATAATATATGTTGGTATATTATTAAAATGGGTATAGACTATAGTGACATATAAAATATGTTATTAAATCTCATTTAAAATTAACACTAAAATTGTACGTAACTATATGTCAAATAGATATATACCTACATATATTATACCTATAGTGATATTTTTTTGAGAATTTGAAATAGTAACTTTTGGATTATAATTCTTAAAAGAATTATATAAATATTAATGTAAAATAATTTTTTTAATAGAGTTTAAAGTAAGTTTTATAGACATCAAATTTGGATAGATTCTAATCGTAATATAGTCGTCACGTTAATTTCATATATTTTTACATTTTTTAATATTTGTTTTGAATGTTATTTAAACATGTTTAATAATAAGGTTACATTTAAATTTTGAGATGTAATTGTGTTATGTTTTAAAAAATGTTATTTTTATATAAAAAAATTGATTAATATATGTTGATCAAATCAACTCATTGTTAATTTGGTTTGAATTAAATTGCAATTTTTTTAAAAGTAAATGTGATTGAAACTAGATCAATTAAAATTATTAGTTACTTCAAGTTCAAACTATTTTGAGTTGTAGATTGATTTATTTTATTGATGATTAGTAAAATGGACATTCAATTCCGCAACTGTGACTGGCGAGGACGTAAGCTAATGATATGAAAGCCAATACCAACCCATTACTTTCCCTCGTCAAGTTTAATGGCTCTGCCCAATCTTCTTGACCTTGCTTGCTTGCCCAACACGTATTCATAAAAGATTTATTGATTTTTCTTTGCCACCAAACACCAGTAATTTTTTTCATTAATAAATATTTTTTCCTTGTTTTTCTCTTTAGAGTTTAATGAGCTTCGAATAGGAACACATTTTTTAGCTTAAATTTTTATATTCACGAGACTTAAAAATCGATCTCTAATTACTTATTAAATAATGTGAAGTCTTTATTAGCCACACTAACCTAAATTGATAAACACAATAATACATACTATACACCATAAATCATGCATATATTGTGTATAAACCCAGTCTGTTCTTGATCTATATAAAAGGACAAATTGTCACCACAATAAAATGTGTTTTTAGTAACATTATAAAAATGTTATTAAATTATAAATAAATGTTGTTAATATGTTTTTACCACATTTTATCAAATGTAAGATAAAACTTATATTGTTAAAGACTTATAATAATATTTTATATATTAATAATATTATTTTTTAAAATTTTATTAAAGTGATAGTTTATAATATTTTAATATTATTGCTTAATTTTTGTAAACTTTATAAAATGATAATGAGATTATATCATCACTTATATTTTATAACCATTGTCTACAAATCCTTTAAAATTTAAGATATTTTAATTTTTTTTAAACAAGAGATATCCTAAATTAGTTGGGATTAAATATAAATTATATATCAAAGTTCATTTATTTTAATATAAGTTTCATTTTATGATTATTTATATTCTTTACATGTTATTATTTTATTAGGTGTGAGACTTCAATTTTGAGAAATAACTAAAGATAAGAGAAATATATTTTTTATATCATTCTTTTACTTATGTGAGATATAATTTTTAAAATATAATTAGAAAAAAATAATATTAAGATTAAAAAAATGTTACTTTATTTGTAGTAACATTTTTTAAAAATATTATAATAATCTATTAACTTAATTTATAACAATATTTTAATAAATATAAATTGATGAATGTTGTTAGAAATGTTAAATATAATAATGAATGTATACTTCGTAGAAGTTAAAAAACCCTAAAAACACGAATAAATAGCAAATTGAATTTAAGATAATCGGTACGTACCCCTGGTTGTTTTCAATTCCTTGATCCTCTCATATTAAAACTTAATCTCACCAAATTAACCATTAGTGCCCAGTGAATTGGATAAGCCTTTTTATAAGTATTTTATAGAAAAAAAATTATATAATTCTATAAAAGTGAGACATACACAAAGTTACACAGATAATTCTATAATATTTTATACCACCATATAAAAGGTAATTAAAAGACAAATTACACAATTAATTATCATAAAAAAAATTTCAGAAAATAAATAAGAGAATAATAAGAAAACATATGTATGATGTTGATGTGTATGTTAATAAAATATGTTAACTATAATATGTTTTAAATAATTGATATAATATTTTTTTATTACAATATTATATTCCTAAATTTTGTTATTACGAATCTTATATATATATATATATATATATATATATATGTTATGGATTAAAAGGTGAAAATTTATCAACATCTAAAAAATGGGAGGTAAAAAGCTTCAAATAATTCTTTTTTAACTCCACTCAAGGTCTTTGGTTAAATTAAAACAAGTCTTACCATAAAAAAATAGATACAATCACCCAGGATATTTAATTTGAAATCATTTATATTTTTCGCAACTTTTATTGTTGTATATATCAAGAAAAAAAAAACCAGGATGGACTAGTAGTAAAATTTGGAATAAATAGGTTTAGTCTTTTTTATTCCTATAATTTTATTTATTTTATCTTTTATTCTTATAATTAAAATATTTTATTTTAATCTTTTGTACATTTATTTTTTAGTTTCTATAATTTTGTAAACTTATCTTTATAGCAATAGATCGATAAAAGATATTAAAAGAAAATAAAATAGTATGTATAGAAATTAAAATACTTTTAACTAATATAGTTTATATGATTATAAGGATCGAAAACATAATTAAATCGAATGAATATAAGGATACATAAATTCAATCCTTGTTATTCTAGTTATATTGTTACAAACAAACAAACAAAAAACTATCAAGCACAAACAACCATCGATCCTTCTTTTGAATACAAACCCAAAAAGAGAACAAGGGGGGACGGGAATTGAATAAGAACTCTACTAGGAAAAAGAAGAAGAAGAAAAAACTTTAAATAAATCTTTGGTTGGAATTAGGTATGATCTTAAATTCAAACTTTGATGTTGTTCGTGTAATATAATGGATAGAAGGAAAAAAAAAAACCTTTAAACTGGAATGCCGATGACAATATGGTTTGAATTCTTAGGGTTGACCACTTGAAATCCTATTGCCTCAAGCTCATGAATTTCTTTAGAACTCATTGTAGTCGTTATGTCTTTTGCTTCTTTTGTTTCTGGACACAAATTATGCCCTGGAATCACCATCCTCACTGAGAAATGAATAACCCCATTTCGCCGACCTTCCCAATTCGTCAAACCGTGACACAACATTTGGGGAACACTTTCCGACACAATTTTATTGGCACCAAGAAAATCCGAAAGTGCTATCCTTGCTACTCCAATAGGCGAACATCTTTATACTTTTTGCATTGCACCTCAAACGTGATCGACCTTGCACGTGAAGGAATGTCTAACAAGAATTTTTCATTCCATGCTAGCAAACCTGCATCTTCATTCACCATTTTGGTGGTGCAACAATTGAGAGACTCAGCACGAACAACAACATACACCTTCTCCGCCACTTGACTTCGATCCATTCTTATGTTTTCTCCCGATATAACCGTGATCTCTAAGGCGCATGGCTTTTGTTTTGCTTCCATATCTATTTGAATTTTGTTGTATGTAAGTAGATATACACACAACTACGTGATATATAAATTGTAGACAATAGCAAAGCGCATAAAATTGTGTTTGTATATACGTGAAGGAAAGATATTGTTTGAGATGAAAGGGTAGGAAGAGCTTTGAGGGATTTAAGTAGTGTAGTTGGATGAGAAAATGTGAGGAAAGAAAGGAAAAACTACTCGTAATTTGCTATCGGTTTTAAGGGGAAATAGCTTGAAAACAATATTTCTAATAACAGTGTATAAATAGGAATTAGAGAACAGGATGTGTTGACCTTGACTATGAATTTTATTATGCCTACCTGACTGACTTTGGTAATCTAATCGAAATTTAAGTTTCCTTCCCATTATTACACTAAAAGGAAATTGTCGTATAGTGATACATATCCTATAGTGATATAATAAGTGTCATTAAAAACTATTTTTACCTACACAATAAGTATAACATATTTTTGTATATTGTTAAAAAGTGTAAGTATAAGTTATGGTGATACACAAAATATGTTGTTAACTTTCATTCAAAATCAAAACTAAAATTATGTGTGTAGTTATTATATGTCAAATAGATATATACCTACATATATTATATTTATGGTGATACTTTTTGTATATCACTATATGTAACATTTATTGTAATGTTATCATGGTTCCACCAAATGTTTTATATGCTAGGATGACTAGTTCCTTCAATGTAGAAAATTCAATATATGCAATTATGTTCCTAGCTGTGAAGTGTGAACTCTGCGTTGTAAGAAACAAGTTTTCTCAAAGTTTAAATAATTCCTATAAATGTATTGGGAAATTTAATGCAATTGCCTTAGAAGTTAGAACACATACCATTCTTGCACTCTTAATTATATAGTAGTATATTATAATTTTGAGTTTTTTTTAAAAGCTAATTTTAATCTATATATTGCATCATGAATACCAAAATTTGGCTAATCCTTTTTACTTATTTAGCTTTTCTGTTTGTTTAATTTTTTTAGAATAAATAAATCAATGAAAAAACTTCTTTCACTTTATTCTACCTACTTTGTTTAATTATCCCCTTAAATAAAAAAAATATAATATTACTAAAATAAAATAATTGAATCTTTTTTATTTAAAAAAAATGTCCACATATTAAGTTAATAAATGGAGCATGATGAGAAAATTACCATATTAAGCTAATTATCAATTATAAGTACATATTTAATATCTTAGGTCGAGACAAACAGTGACAACTTATAATCGTAGACTTGGTCCTTTTAAAATAAAATCTCACATGTTTCAGAACTACTGCTTTAAACCAAGTCTTTGTAATAACAATCATGGATCTTGGTAACCCCAAGAAAGCTGGCTTAATTTGGTGGAATTCTTAGAGACTACCATGGATCTTGGATTTCAGTCTACTATGGCAATTGTGGCATGGATCTTGGACTCATTCATGCTGGACAACAGGCTTCAAAAATACTATTTGTGAAATTGATTCTGTTGTGGCTCTCAACCTCGTCAACATAAGCCAAAATAATTTCCATCCTTTTGCCTCACTTATTCATCTGATTAGAGCGCAATGTTCAAGTGCAGCAAGATTGGCTAGCTTGTTTCATTCTTGCATGAAGAAAATTTATGGCTTGAAAACATGTAACGTACAAGTCATAGGGAGAAATGTCCTGTTTTTCGCAAATTTTGACATACTAGGAGAAAGGGATCGAAAAGGGAATACTTGAAGAAAGCTTAAAAAGGGACAACCAAGAATATAGATCAATCAGTGAAATTTTGAGTATCAAAAACTTTGGAAATTAAGGTGGTTATTGGCGATTTTTAAAAGTTAATAAAAGTTATATGCATGTAAAGTTAATATCAAATGATTGTTGTACTATTTCTTTTTTAAATACTAGATTTGGGGTATGATTTATAGGTCAGAAACACTTTTAAAATCACTTTGTTTATTCCTTTATATCTTTCTGTTTTAAGGGATGTTTGTATTTATTTTTACCAACTTTTTATTTTCTTTTAGTATAATATACATATAATTTCTTTTCTCTCTTTAATTTTAATTTTTTTAATATATGATTTCTTCGATCAATATTCATGTTAATCATTTGATCATTGTAACATTTATTCTGAATAATTCAAATCTCATGAAAATGATCAAATCATTACCTAAAAATCATAATTTATTAAACATATTTAAGTTAAATTTACTAGTTCAAACATAAAGAATTTATTGAATCAAATCCACCAAAAACACAACTTCAATTAGCTTCTCTTTTCCTAGTTAATATTATGGGGATTAAGAAGATTAGTGTGTAATTTTTTATATTTTTTTGTCTTGTTTCTTTTATCTTTCAAACACTAGTGCAAAAATTAGATTTAAAATCGGGGTTTTAAGAACGGTTAAAAAGTGACCGATCTTAAAAGTCACGTGGTGACAATTTTGTAAATAATGTGAACACTTTTAAGATCAGTTAAATTTTAACCGATTTTAAAAGTATTTTTAAGATCGGTTATAAAATAATCGATCTTAAAAGTACTTTTAAAATCGGTCATAAAAATCGGTTATTTTATGACCGATTTTAAAAGTACTACTTTTAAAATCGGTTATTTAAGAACCGATTTTAAAAGTGTTACGTTTAAAATCGGTTATTTAAGAACCGATTTTAAAAGTATCGTTAGAAACCTTTTATATTTCCCTCCATTCTCATTCTCTTTGATCTTTCGACCATTCCTTTTTTTACTCTCTCGCACTCTCATTTTTTAAAATCTCCCATAAGGTAAATTTCGTTGTCATTTTCGTTTTCGTCTTCTCATGCTCTTCTCATGTTTCTAGTTTTGTTGCAGGTTCATTTCGGGTAAATTTGAAATCTGGAACGGCCCGTTCTGCAAGGAGAACAGTTCATTCTGCAAGGAGAACGACCCGTTTTGCTAGGAGAACACCCCATTCTGCAAGGAGAATGACGCGTTCTGCAAGGAGAACGGCCTGTTCTGCAACCAGAACGGCCCGTTCTAGATTAGTTTTAACTCATACCAAACTATGCTAGAACAGCCCATTCTAAACTATAATTTTAGGCCTTTTAAACCTAGAACGACCCTTTCCAATTTAATTTTTACAAAGCCAAGACTTTTAAGATCGGTTATAAAACAACCGATCTTAAAAGTTAACTTTTAAAATCGGTTATTTAACCGATTTTAAAAGTCTAACTTTTAAAATAGGCTCTTTTAAAATCGATTACGGAACCGATTTTGAAAGTTAAAAATAACTAATTTTAAAAAAAAAAATTTCCACTAGTGAAATATATATAAAAAAATAACAATCGTAATATTGGTTTAGTAAGACAATTTAAAATAAATGTATATGTACTATAAAAGCTAGTTTTTTTTAAACCTAGTAATGACTTTATGAGGGTGGATTGATTAAATTTAACATCTTAATTTTAGGCATTTAGGACACATGTTTAGACAATTTCGCAATCTCAAAACTTGACATTTGAAAAAATATATCAAATTACTTCAAAGGAATTGACCTAGAAATAAACAATATAACTTAAATTCTTGTCAATTAACTATCTCACTTATTTTTTATCAACAAAGAGATTTCATCGAGAAAGAGAATAATGGTTACAAAGTCCAAAGTCTTATTATAAGACTTGAATAAAGATTTGCTAAAAACCTCTCCCCCTAATACAAAAGAACTCCTCATCAAGACAAACCTCATATGACATAATGTAGAAAATTAACACTAACGTATGTGTAGGAATGTCGATAGGATAAGATGAGTATGAGGAATAGTCCTAGCTATCCGTCCAACTCCTCTGTTTCATATCATGTGTGTACCTAACAAGGTGATATCTTCAAAAAAATAAAAATAACACTAATTCACGATATATCTATAGATATTTATTAAAGGATAAAAGAAACTTATAAATAATTTTTAAAAAAAATAGTACGACATGATTTTTATTTATTTTAATAATCTTTTTAAAAATAATAGTTTAAAAGTAACAAAACTTAAATTATTTAAATATTATATACAATGTTATTAGTCAAGATTCTTCAATTTAAAAATTAAGAAAGAGGTAAATTGGATTGAGATTTTAAACTATTATTTTAAAAAAAAAGTTTTATGATATTCAATCAAGACATTTTTAATATAAAAAAGTTATATGGTATTCAATTAAAATAATTATAATTTTTTTAGATATATCAAAATATGGTGGTATTCAATTAAGATAATCAAAAAAAATTTTAAGAGTAAATTAAAATTTAATGATATTCAATTACGATTTTTTTTCACTTAAGAAAATCTGTAGGTATTAAAAACCATGAAGATTTCAATAAATTATTTTGAAAGATAAATTTTGTGAAACTTTTTAGTTGAATTTATATATAATTCACTCAAGCAACAATATTATCAAAAAATTTTAGATTTCACATGACTTTTTTTTTCTTATTTATTTCTCCTTTTTTTTTCTCCCACGCCTTTTTTGGTTTACTCTTTTTTTCCTCTCTCTCTTTGATCTTCTCCTCTATCTATCTTTTTTTTTCTCTCTCTCTTTCTTCCTCCTCTCTCTCTTCTCATGTCTTCTCTATCTCATTTTCTCCTTTTGTTTATATCTTTCATTTATTTATTCTCTCTATTTTTTTCCTTTTTTTTTTATTTTATATATATCAATATTTTTTGGTTACATTTTTTATCTACCAATATTGATGTATAATTCATCAATTTTTATTTTTAATTATGAAATATTTTAAATAATTTTTTATTTATTAAATACTATATATTGTTAAATTTCTTAAAATTATTAAATTTAAATATTCATTTTTAATAAAATTTAATTTTAAAATTTTAAACATATATTAAAAATATATTTTTACAATTCTACAAATATAATAATTTTGAACAAATTATTAAAATTCAATAATATGAATAGGAAAATATAAATATATAAAGGATTATATGTAAAATAATATTATTTAAGATGACATGAAATCGAAATCAATTATTTATTAAAAAATTAAAAATTTTATTAATTTTATTTTTTTTATTCAAACTTTTTTATTTATGTAATTTTTTAATAATATTATTATTATTTTTTAAAATTCATATTGTCTTTTAAAATCTAATAAAATCCATTAAAACCTTATAAATTCTTAACATACAAATCGATGAAAACTCATATTACAAGATTCTGAATAAAAGAATCTTAAAATTATTACATTTATATAAAAGCCTTTTGTAAAAAAAAAAAAAAAGTCATTAACCTCTTGTAAAATCTTTTAAAATATACAAGACTTTTTTATGCTAAAAGAATCTTATATAATTACAATCCAATACACTTTTCTAAATTTAATTGTTATTAAAGTACTTCAGTCTCATAAAATTAAACAAAACCAATAAACTAAAATAATTGAAGTCCACATGTCTAAAGTTAAAGTTCAAAAGTTATATTTCAATCTCACAAATCAATCTAAATAAAAAAAATTAAGTAATATCACATTTTTATTTAACAAATATTATATAATAAAAAAATATTTAAATAATTTTATTATAACGAGTATCTACAAGACGGATGTCTCGATATCCATTTTCATCCCCATTTATTAATATGAGTACAAATAAGTTCACTTAAATTATCCACTAATATATCTACTTATTATCCGTTGTAATTTTTTTTTAAAGATATCCGTGAGTACAAGTTTTTTTTTCTTCCCATTCCTAGATATGTTTATACTATACATGAAGTATCTCACTTAGTTAATGACTTTGTCAGTTCATCCTTATTACATATCCTGTAGCTAATGAAGTTGTCAATAAATCCATGATATATGTCTTAACAAATAAATGACATATTCATGTTATAAACCAATCTAAAATGAATAAAAGGCGAAACATAATAATAGATAAGCAATGGTTTTAAACTTTTAGACCAAACACTTGTAAGAGAAGAAAAAAAAGTTTTTCTGTAAACTAAAAATATCTCTCACATAAATTAATTTGTAGAAATTTTATTTTACCAACTTATGAAAATTTTATTTTTAACTTATGTATAAGATAATTTTACTTTTGAAAAAGAATATTTTATTTTCTTATAAGTAATTTTGAAAAAATTATCTAAAGAGACAATTAATATATATCTAAAAGAAAAAATTGCACTAATATTTCCTAAGGTCTTTTTAAATGATATACATATCACCTCTAATATTTAAATAAATATGTCCTATTTATTTATCTAAGTGATATATAAATCCTTATATAAAATAACATCATTTGTGTATTATTAGGAGATAACAAATTATTAATATAATTGTAAACAATTGAATGAGATTTAATCTCTTTAATTTTAATTTCAAATTATATCATACATCTCATGTGTGTTTTGATTTAAAAATATATCAATTTTAAAGAATAATTTTAAAATATGAACTAACAAATCATTATTGTTAAAATTAAAGAATAATAAAAATTTTCATAAAGAAAATAAATATTGTATGTAATTTAAAAATGAGGGATAAACACACATGATTAGTAAAAATATGAATTAAGTTTTATTTTTTTTCTTTTTTTCTTACTTTAATTAATGATATTATTTTAAAAGAGGTAAATGAATTTTAAAATCTAAAAAGAAGATACATGTCATTCATTTCATTTAAATAAAGAAGGTGAGTGTAATTTTCTTGATCTAAAATTCAATGTTGACTAGGAAAAAAAAAAGTGATGATACAAATTGTAGCGCGTGAGCTAGCTATGGCGGTTGGGTGTCTGTGCCGACAGCCCTACCTATCGGAAGTTATGCATGCATCTGGATGCATGGATTCTCAATAAAAACAAGGGAATTGTTACGAAAGATCGAGGAATTTTAATACATTTTTTTTTTTTATGTAAACTCATAAAAAATTTAAAAATATTAATTTAATTATAAAATAAATAATCTAAATTATACTTATAAAATGTAAGATAAAATTATAGAAATTAAAATTATAAAATTTCAATAATATTATAAAATATTAAAAAA